ATGCATGCACAGCCGGATCCCTTGCGGGCCGGTGAGCATCCTGGTCCGCTTCGGTTGTCGGCAAGTCTATTAAACCGCTTGGCACATTGCACACTGCATCCTTGCCGTCGACAGTGGGTTTCTCAACAGCGTCTCCGTGTAAAGAGCCCTCCTCGGCTGGCTCCCGAGTTGTGGTCGTAGCCGGGTGAACACTGGTAGTTGAGGTGTCACGCTCGGAGAGACCTGCGGCGGCGGCTAAACCTCCAACTGGCTCGTGCTCCATTTCGCCGTCATCAGCACACTTGTCCACGTCTGCTTTCTCACGAACCTCGGCCAAGCCATCGGCGTCAGGAATGTCGGTAGCTTGGAATGACTCGGTTGGCGGCATACCTGCATCACCATGGATCGGCACGTCGGATTCCTCGGCACGGTTCTGCACGTCGGGTCGATCAGCGCCCTTCTCGTTTGAAGAGCCTTCACCGTCAAACGACTGCACCGAGGAGGACGCAAGAGGAGCGCCATCAGTAGTGGGTTCTTCAACAGTCTCTTCGTGTGACGAACCCTCACCGGCAGCCTCTTGAGTTGTGGTAGTGGTATCGTCCTTAGTGGAAGTGCTCTGCTCCACAGGCGAAGAGAGATCTGTGGGAGGAATAGAGTCATCGACTAGTTTACGCTCAGCTTCTCCATCGCGATCTGGTGCCCCCACAATCGATTCATGCACAGCTAGATCCCTTGTAGGCGGGTAAGCATCCTGGTCCGCTTTGGTTGTCGGCAAGTCTATTGAACCGCTTGGCACATTGCACACTGCATCCTTGTCGTCGGCAGGGGGTTCCTCAACAGCACCTCCGTGTGAGGGGCCCTCCTCGGCTGGCTCTTGAGTTGTGGCCGTAGCCGGGTGAGCGCTGGCAGTCGAGGTGTCATGCTGGGAGAGACCTGCGCCGGCTGCTGAACCTCCAACTGGTTCGTGCTCCATTTCGTCGTCGTCATCAGCACACTTGCCTACGTCTGGTTTCTCACGAACCTCGGCCAAGCCATCGGCGTCAGGAATGTCGGTAGTTCGGAACGACTCGGTTGGCGGCATACCTGCATCAGCATGAATCGGCACGTTGGATTCCTCGGCTCGGTTCGGCACGTCGGGTCGGTCGGTAGTCTCCTCGTTTGAAGAGTCTTCACCGTCAAACGTCCGCACCGGGTAGGACACAAGAGGAGCGCCGTCGGCAGTGGGTCCTTCAACAGTCTCATCCTGCAACGAGCCATCACCGGCGGCCTCCTGAGTTGTGCTAGTAGTCGGGACCTCGTCTTTGGTGGAAGTATTCTGCTCCACAGGCAAGGGAGAGATCTGCGGGAGGAATTGAGTCCTCAACTGGTTTACGCCCAGCTTCTCCATCGCC